ATCAAGAAGGACATCTGCTCTGGAAAAGCCTTGCCACTGAGTGTGCACTATGGGCCAGGGATCTTGGGACTAAGAGTGACTCTAGGCAGTTTAGAAGAGCAATCCAGTAGCTGCCCCTCTCCCTTTGTAAATGAAAAGCTTCAAATAAGCCGGGCAGTGGTGGTGCACGTCTTTAATCCCAGCACTCAGGAGGCAGAGGCAGGTGGATCTCTGTGAGTTCGAGGCCAGCCTGGTCTACAAGAGCTAGTTCCAGGATGGGCTCCAAAGCTACAGAGAAACCCTGTCTCAAAAAACAAAAACAAAAATAAAAAAGAAAGAAAAGCTTTAAACACCTGGCTCAATAATTGATAGTTTTACACCATAGTCTGGGATTTTTTTCCACAAACATTTGAATATAGTGCCGGGTGATTTCGGTCAACTTGACACAAATCTAAACATATTTGGGCAGAGGAACTGCCTCCCTCAACTGAGGAACTGCCTCCGTCAGATTGGCCTATAGGTATGTCTATAGGACATGTCTTTGTTTAAGGATTAAAGTGGGAGGGCCCAGCTCACTGGTGGTGCCATCCCTGGTGGGTGGTCCTGGGCTGTATAAGACAGCAAACTGAGCAAGCCACGCGAATCAGTGTGTAGCACAAGTCAGTGTGTAACACAAGTCAGTGTGTAACACTCCTCCATAGTCTCTGCTTCCGTTTCGGGCTCCAGGTTCCTGCCTTGACTCCCCATCCTGCTGGACAGTCACCTGGAACTGTAACCAGAAATAAACCAGTTACTCCCCAAGTCGCTTTTGAGCATGGTGTTTAACACAACAACAGAAAGCCAAAAAGGACAAGTGTCTGTCTTGTATTTAGCAGGATTGGGGTAAAATTGAGTCTACATCTCCTCAGAGCAAATTGCAAACCAGGCAGCAGCCCTCTGTAAAATGACTACGTATGACCTTCTAGGGCCATGCGAAAAACATGGTGGGGAGGCCTCTGTGGTAGAAGGAGCCGGCTGTGAAGGCTCCTGAGGCTGGAATAGTAGTGGTAATTTATAGAGGGTTTTGTTTTCCCCCACGAAAGGAATTTCCCCATGCTAGTACGGAAAACAGTCTTTCCCTCTACCTCAGTACAGGGACAGTGTGTTTGGGTGGCCTTTGGAAGTAACATAAATCAGAGGAACACCACAACAGGAGCCAGTGACATAGCTCAGTGAGACACTGTGCCTGTGAACCTTGGGGTTTGACTGCCAGCACCTCAAAAAAATGACAAACAGAACACCGAGAGGCATTTGAACCTTCTCGTTGCCAGGACTGTGAGCAGATAGATCCTGAGATGGCAGCCCAGGTTTCCATGCTGCTCCGAATTCAAGTAAAGTAAGAAGAGGCTGTTCCTGGCTGTGGGGCTTTCACCAGCCAAGCAGATTCACTCTGGTCCCCCGTGGGTCTGCCAAGAGTGAGAGAGATGGAAAGGCCGGGCAATGCAGGTTTGCTGCTCGCCTCAGGAGGGGGCCGCCTCATCTTCCTGAAGTCTCCTCAAGGATACAGAGTGTGTACCACCTTGAAAATTCTGCATGCGGGCCTAGGACGTGAGATGTAAGCCCAAAGCACTTTTTGCTACATCAGTACTGTGACCAACATCAAAAATCTTAAGAAACTCAATCCTTGGCTGTCCTTGTGCACGTGGCGGGTTTCACAATCAGTTAGAGATGAGGCTGGGCTTTTATTATTTTCTGTTCCCTCTCCAGCTGACATTCCCAGGAGCCCTGGAAAGGTTGCTGTAATCATCACGCCCGCTGTGTCTGTTGCTCATCTCAGCTCAGACCCAGCAAGGAAAGAAAGTGGCTCTCTGGGTAGGGGGGGTCACGTAACTGCATGGTATTCACTGGACCCCTGAAGGTCAGTGTTCACGCATCCTGAGGGTGTGGTATTGGTCACATTTCATAGACTTGTCACGTGAACACGTGACTGAAGAGTTTCAGCTCTTCAACAAGTGATGTTAAATGGAATGAAGAGAAGGGGTGAAGTGTGTGTGTGTCGGGGGGGGACACCACAATAATGAATGCATCTGCAGGGTCTGGGGTCCTGGGTATTTAGAATAGTACCCGGCCACAAAATACTCACTCATTAAAGGTTAGTTATCATTGTATTTTTTATCTCCCAATTTCTCATTTCAGCTCAAATGCTCTGATTCAGAACCATAGAAGCCAAATCCTAGATTCTTGGCTCTTTCTGATCTGCGTCTTTCTGGCTATTTCTCTGTACTACTCCCATGCTTACTATAATTAACTGTGTGGCTTCTCAGGGCCCAGAATTCTACACACAGAGTCTCAAGAAGAAATGTACCAAGAGCAAAGTGTGATTGATGCACACCTTTCATCCTTGTACTTAGGAGGCAGAGGCCGGGGAATCTCTGTGAGTTCTAGCCAACCTGATCTACAAAGAGAGTTCCAGGGTAGCTAGGGCTATTCTAGAGGGGCTTTGTCTCAAAAAACCAAAAAACAAAAAATACACAGAAAATATTAACGTATAAATGGATTTAAAAGGTAAAGTATCCTAGGGTTCATTTTTAAAAGATTCTGTCCCTCTTTGGATATTTTCTCTTTCTCGTTCTCTCTTTTTTAAAAAAGGTTTATTTGTTATATATAGTATATACATATAGTGTATATGAGTTCAATTCCCAGCAACTACAAGTTGGCTCACAACCATCTATAATGGGTTCTGATGCCCTCTTCTGGCATGGAGGTATATAAGATGTTTTTTAAACAAGAAATACGCTGAACTGGTCGAAGTGCTAAGAATAAGAGATTACGTACCACCCCTAATTGGGATCTCTTCCTCAATAACCTCCTTCCTGGATCAGGGAATATCGGAGAGAAGGTAAGGACCAGATGATGGAAAAGGGCGCTGGGAAATGCAAACTTCTGGCCTTGGCATAGCGATTTTACTCACGAACTCATACAAGCTGTGGTCACCTGCACAAGCCCTATACAAGGTTAATCTAGCCAAAATAGGTAGGGGAGGTGCTCTTGCAGCCCATCCCCTCCTGAGGTGGGCTTGGCAATTGATAGCAGCTGAGGAAGGACAGTTATTCTTTTGTTCTTAAGTGTGTGGCCACTGGTAGGTATCCCATGCTCCAGTGAGTAACTTCACACCCATACACAAATGGGCAGGTAGGGAGAGGAAGGGGGCTAGGGTAGAACTGTGTTTTCTGGAAGCTTCTCAGCCTTTCCGGGTGACATCATTCACAACGCTGTCACAGCTGTGATCACACACACACACACACACACACACACACACACACACACACGAAAGGCTCTCAAGTCACACGCTCCACTGACTGAAACCAAAACAGAGGGTTGGGCCTGCTTCTCTTGGGTGGGACCTGGAGCGGCTCCTTTGTTCAGCCCCACCTGCTGGCACAAGTGGCTGACCCAGCGCGAGGCCTTGCCATGGCCCCACCCTGGGACACCAGCCTCCAAACCTGCCACAGTGTGGCTGGGGAGAGGGGAAAGCTTTGGTGGTTAGGCACACCTAGGTGGGGCAATCTCTGTAACCTTTTTTCCAGGATGGCCTGTCTAGTGTGACCAGGCAGGCTGGGTAGCACTAGATCTTAAATACTCCCTTGTGTAGGATTCATTGATGAAAGAGGGGCCCTGGCCCAGACAGGGTTGGGCCTGTAGTCAGGCAAAGGGATGGAGCAGTCTGCTTGGCTGTGTTGTCACCTTGGCGGAGCACCTTTGACTTTTGCCTTGGAAGGTCACCATGCAGCCAAGGAAGAATCCTTGTTACAAGAAGGACAGGCTCTGTGTATCTCTAAAACTGACGGGTGCTTCCTCTATCCGACGGGGAGTAGAACTCTCTGTGAATCCATAAACGAAGCCAGTGTGGGAGTAGCTGTACCACACAGACGTGTATGTGTGTGTGTGTGTGTGTGTGTGTGTGTGTGTGTGTTTGTGTTTTAAGACCATCTGTCTGTTAAATGGAAAACTTTTAAAAATGCTCCACTCTGAGAATCTGTGAGGGACCTCTGCAAATGCCATTGGCTTAGGTGCCTCTTGACCTGCAGTGCCCATAGGTCTATGCAGAGACCACATCTGTGCCTGGTTTCTACAGATCTGCCTCCAGCCAAGTTTTTAGTAGCAGGCAAGGACCTCAGGGTCCCAGGCCACTCTGCTGTCTTTAGAGATCCAGGCCTGGATCTCAGAGCACCTCCTGGGGGATGGGGGTGGAGTTCCCACTGGTGAAGTCAGGCATCCTATTCCCACAAGTCCCTCTTCCTAATTTACAGAGTTGTCTGAGCACTTAACAGAGGTGTCCTGAGAGTGTATGCTTCCTACAAACTGTCTGGTTGGAAGTGCTGGGAAGGGAAGTTATACAAAGAATGGCCTACAAGCCAGGAAACTTGCTTTCAAATGGAAACATAGAGAAAGGCTGCAGCCAGCCTGGGGAGATTACCTAAGCATTCTTTTGCTTTTAACCGAGCCCGGGGCTGCCCTGGGTTTGTACAAGTCTTTGGAGATACAACAGAAGAGAAGCAAGGTTAGACTTACTATCCATAGCTGGGGAGGACATCGCAATCGGGAACTATTTCATTTATAGCATAATATATTCTTTTAAAAGAGGGAGAGACATCGTTCGAGGGGTGGATGAGGCTTGGGAAGGGTAGAGCCGAACGGTCGAAAAGGCCTGAGTTCTGTATCTGAAGTAAGTTGCACTCCTGGCCTCGCCATTCTCACCCCTGAGGGACTCGCATCCCACTCTTGGAGGGTGGCAGTGTCCCTCTAGTCTGGCTGCTTCCCTCGGGTCTGTGCTCTTTTCCCAGGCGGCCAGGCTAGGAGGGAACAGCTCTACTGCTCGGGTACATTAAGCGATCTACTCGCGTTCGCTCGGCTTCGTGCCACGGGGAGCAGGATCCTGGCTGCGTCTCCAAGCAGGCACCCGGGGCCGCTCCCCCGCGTGAGGCTCTCACCTGTCGGCCCGCCCCTCCCTGTCGCCCCAGGTGGCTCGGGGTGGGGAGGAGCCACGCCCCGCCCCGCGCTGTCCCAGTCAACGCCAGCCCGGGGCGGGTGCCGCTAGCCCAGGCTGGGAGCCGAGCGAGGCGCCGGGAGTCCGCGGGCCGCGACCGGGTAGGTGAGCCGGGCGAGCTCTGCGGGGCGGCCGCGTGCGTGCGGGGCTGCAGAGCCGGGGCTGGGAGGGGCGAGCGGCTGCGGCGGGCGCTGCGCTACAGCCGGCGGGACCCAAGCCGCGACTCTCCGAGCCGCAGGGAAGCGCAGGTGCCCACAGCTGGACGTGCCGGGCCGAGCTGGGAGGGTTTCCCGGGGACTCCGCGGCTGGAGGCCACCGCTGAGGCTGGGGAGCGACCGCACGGCCAAGTGCGAGCCAGCTTCCGCCAGTGCCTCTGCGGCGCTTCATTCCGGTAGGCGGGAACCGCCGCTCCCCCAGCGCAGCGTTTTACTTTGGCTGTTGAATCACTAACCAACACATTGGTTAGTTACCCAGGCTTCGGTGAAGCTGGGTCGGCGGGGCTGCCCTTACTCCAGGGGGGCATACATAGTAAGTCTGCACGGGTCTGTGCGCCCTGGGGTGTTGTGCGGTGAAAGGGTGCTGCCCACCTCCCGGTGACTGATGATCAGAGTGATGAAGCGGGAAGAGTAGTCCAGAGAGTGGTGTTTAAATTTCAGTTCACTTACTAGCGCTGTGACCTTGAGCAAGCTCTTTAACTTCTCCGAGCCTGTTTCCTCCAGGATAAAATAGCCGTTATGATCATCGGATGGCTTTAAATTATTTGGTGCTCATGAGGTACCTAGCATGCCTGAGGGTTTTTCTCCATGTTTATCCCTCAGGTATTCGACAGTTCATGTCTCCAGAGGTCCCTGCATCTTTCTGAATAGAAGACATGGGGTGGGGGTGGGGGGAGTGATCGCGTCTGTGCCTGGGAGGGGTGAGCACCATCCTGACTCTCTGATGGGGGCAGTGGCAGTTGTAGGGTCGGGCTGCTCTAGCAGCCAAGATGAAGAGGGTCAGTGCTCATGTTCCCCTTGAAGAAAGCTGCAATCACCCGGCTCCTGCCATGGTGAACTGTCGGAATTCGTTCCTTAGGGTTAGGGTTTGGTGACTTGAAAGTTGCCTCACGCCGCCCTGTAGGAATTGACTGGGTCCTCCAAAGGAAGTGGGAGGGCTGCAGCTTCTACTGTGGAAGGTGTCACCTCTATGAGCTCCCAGAACAGGTGCTGTCTTCCGAGGACACATTAGCTCCTTCTGCACCAGGCTGGCACGTTTGGTCAGTAGAGGTGACACCTTATCTTTGAAGGAAATGAGAGGAGCAAAGGAGAAGGAAAGAGGAGAGAGGGAGGGAGGGAGAGAGAGATGTGGAGAGATCTCGTCCATTTAGTCTATCCCTCAGCAGACCTCATCCGGGTGCACTGGACTGCAAGAAGTCCAAGCCATCCCAGCAGATGGGGAGTGGGAGGGTTTCCGTGGCAGAAGCAGGCCTGTATTACCCAGGTGCCACCAACACCGCGGAGGAGGAGCTCAGCTCCTGGGACAGATAAACGGTCTCAAGTGTAGGTGATTCGGAGGCCTGTTCTGAGGAAGTAGTTTCAATTCTGGGCAGCTGAAAATAGGACTGTGCGTTGCACCGTGTCTGCTTTTCCTTGAGGACACCTCCAAGGAGCTCTTCCCCAGAGTGTGAACAGCGCAGGTGCCAGCCCGTCAGGGCCGCGGGGTGTGTTGCCAGCTCTCTGTCACGGCTTCATTCATCCAGTCATTCCATGTTTCGTCAGTGCCCAACACACGCCAGGGTCTCTGCCAGGAGTGAGGGTGGAGTTGGAGGTTGTCTCGCTGGGGACTTGGTGGAGTCTTCCCAAGGAAGGCGTGTGTAGCTTAGCTCTAAATTGGAGATGAATAGGCTGCGGACGTCCTGTCTGGGTCACAGGGAGGGTGTCTGACAGGGCACACTTTAATGTACGTTACCTTAGTTGGGTCACGTTATTGTTTCTCACAGGATGACGGAGGGTGGGAGAGGGACAGCTCTAGGTTGCCTTCTAGAAATTTCTCTAAGTTTCACTGACTTCATGGGAACCAGAGATACCATTGCCTTCCTTGACATGATAGCATCCACAGCAGAGGGAAGGACCAGGCATGCTCCTCAGTCTTCTTTTAGGTAAGAAAATTAAATTTTCCTTACAATTCTTGTCGTTGGCCGTGTGCCTTTGTCCAGAATGGGCAGCCTACCTGTAGAGCAATCCTAGCAGCAGAACTGGGGGATGTACTGGCCTTTGCCAGATATTCTTCTGAGCTGAGGTGGGACTCATCTCCCCAGGGCTCTGCATCTAATACAATCCGAAATCTGCAAGCGAAGGCCAAGGCAAGGATGGGCACCCGGTCATAGCTCCTGTAAATTCAGATTCTAGTAGGGAAGTGGAGGGTGTTGCTAGGGGACAGGAAAGGAACTGAGTGTTGCATAGCAGGAAAGACACGGGCACCCTGTGTTGGACACCCTATAGTGTCACTAAGAGTCATGGTCCCGTTTGTCGGACATGAAACCAGGAAAAGGCGTTGCACCCTCTCTATGTGCCCCTTAGGATGAGTGACAGTTTTCTACGTATTGCTATCATTTAGTGAGCGATAATGGTTCATTCTCTTGGAGGAGTTCCAGGAGGGGCCATGAGTAGTTGAAATCTCACAGATGAATTTGGTCTTCCGCTACCGACCCACCCTAGCCCAGGGCCTCCTCAGTCCTCCTGAGAGCACTCCCTTGCTCAAAGCCATGGCTTGGTTTCAGCATTGTTACCTGCCTTCAAACTAACAGGCCAGGGCTTGGTGAACGTGCAGGTAGTGGTAGATTCTGGATTTAGAAAGCGGGCTTCCTGGTACTGAATTCGGTGTGCGACTTTAGTGACCGTGTTCAGCACTGCTTTGAAGTCATTTTCAGCGAGGTGCTAGGAGACTGATGTTCTCCGTTTCCACTGGACATGGTGGATATCAGTGGGCTTTGGTGTTTGGCTGCAGGGCCAGGCACGCAGCTTCCCACAATCCTCTCTCCTCAGGACCTAGTTAGTCCAGAAGCCAGAAGAATGAGTCCTCACTGATCCTGGAGAAAGCAGGTGGGGAGGGCTAGCTTATTCAGGCCTGTTTGTTAGGATCACTGTGCAGATGTGGAGGGGGCTGTGACAGTGATTCAAGCCTCAGGCAGAATTCACCCCACAAAGCACCTACTGTGCGCCACACACAGTTTAAAGTGCAGGGGATCCAGGATCCTTAAAAATGAGAAAGTCATTGTTCTCATGGTGCTTACATGCCCCAGAACAAGACGAACTTATGTTTTAGTGAACATGCTGGATGCTGAGCAGTGACGTAATAGAAGGGTGTCAGTCAGGTTAAGAGTATTACTGGAACACCTGGTCACAGGCCTGGCAGTCTTATTTCCTGCGGAGAATTGTGGCCTGAGAAGGTACGGTTTGGGGCAAAAAAGGACAAATGTTCACTAAGAAGTCGGTTAAACATCAAATTATTTAGAGCATTTTATTTTTCTTTAAATGTGTATATGTGTTTTTATGCATGTGTGTGTGTTTTTATGCATGTGTGTGTGCTTGTATGTATGTGTACATGTGTGTATGTGTGCATGTGTGTATGTGTGCATGTGTGTGTGCCTCAGGACAACCTCAGGAGCCACACTATGTTTGTGAAACACAGTTCATCTTGGTCTGAGACACAGCATGCTGGCCTGGGGCTTACTAGCTCAACTAAGCAGTAAGCCCCAGGGGTCTGCCTGCCTCTTCCTCCCCGACACTGGGTTACCAGTGCACACCACTGCACCTGGCTTTCAGTGTGGGTTCTGGGCATTGAACTCACATCCTCATGCTCGACACTTTCCTGACTGACTCATCCCCACAAACCTTAACTTTTTTCTTTTTTAAACCGAATTTCTTTCTTTCTTTGTTGTATCTCACCTGTTCCTATAGCGACTTGCCAAACAGCACCAGGTGATGAGAAATGAGTGAAGGAATGCGAACAAAGGGGAGTCAGGCCCATTCCTTTCATCATTTTGATGCAGAATTGTTTGGTTTGGGCAGTAGAGAAAGAGGAAGTATGCTTGTGTTACAGATATGCTCATTCATGCTCAGGACTCATTATTTGAATAGTGAGAAAATGAAAGTTGAAGCCTTAGACAATTATAACCTTTTCTCTATTTTAAAGAACTTTTCTTATTTGATAGGGATAGTCCTTTCCCTGGTTCAAAGTCTTTTTCTTTTTCTTTTTTTTTTTTTTTTTGGTTTTTGGTTTTTTAAGATAGGGTTTCTCTGTAACTTTGGAGCCTGCCCTGGAACTAGCTCTTGTAGACCAGGATGGCCTCCAACTCACAGAGATCTGCCTGCCTCTGCCTCCCGAGTGCTGGACTTAAAGGCGTGCACTACCACCGCCAGTGGGATCAAAGTCTTAATAATGTTCCTAATTTTCCTTATAAATTTCATGCATTCATGTTTTACATTTAGGTCTACAGTTAAACTGGAAATAAGTTTTGAATAAGGTGTGAAAATGGGTCAAAGACTTTTTGGGTATGTATTTATGTGCCCAATTATTTTAGTACAAGTTGTTAAAAATCAACATTTCCCAAATAAATTTCCTTGGGTGTTTAAAGGAAAGTCAGCCAGGGGCCAGCAAGATGGCTCAGTGTGTAAGGGTGCTTGCTGCCAAGCCAGACAGCCTGAACTTGGTTCCTGGGACCTTCATGGTGGAAGGAGAGAACTGATTTTAGTAAGCTGTCCTTAGATCATCAGTCAGACAGACAGACAGACAGCACACATAATAGAGATATGATAGATGATAGATAGATAGATATAGATGATAAAGGGAGATGACATGTGATGACTAAAATATATTTTATCTAGTTTTAAGTATTAAATACATTTCTGTGTGATTATTTCAGTTCTGGGCAGCTGGGACAAACAAGCACCTCCCTGCAACGTGTGTGTGTGTGTGTGTGTGTGTGTGTGTGTGTACAGTAATTTGTCTTTGGTTTCTATCATTGGATTTTTTTTGGTAGATTTTAGGGAAAAAATGGTTCAGCACATAGGGTTTTGCTGTGTTTATATCTTAATTATTTGATTTGGGGGTTTTGAGTCAC